AATTTCAGAGTTGTCTGATTTGTCCCATAATACTATTTTTATTGAATCTCCGTCATATACAGGGGAAATAAAAATTTTATTAGGTCAAGTTACCGGTGATAATCTCGGACTTCACCAGCTTTTTGGTTTTACTGAATCGTTTGTGTCAAATTTTCCTTGCCGTTTTTGCAAGTTGCCTCGATACCGTTGTTTGATTGAATCAAGAGAAAACCCATTAATGAGAAGGACTAGAACCAATTATGAGTCAGACCTTGTACTTCCAAATTTAGCAGCGACCGGAGTAAAAGCCCAATCTGTTTTCAATGATATTCCAAATTATCACATTACTCAAAATTATTGTCCAGATATAATCCATGACATTTTAGAATGGGTTGGTCCCATTAATCTTAAAGTCATGCTAAATTACTTAGTGAAGGAAAAACAAATTTCTGTTGAACAAATAAATTTCAAAATATCCTCCTTTAACTACCGTCACATAAAAAAAGACCGACACAAATGATAGAAATACGTCTATGCGTAAGAAAAAATATAAAAATTATTTGGATTAAATTATTCCATTAAATTACTGTACTAAACAAAGTCTCCACTCAAAAACGGTTTTACTCACTGAATGAGACATGAATTATTGGCATTAATTTGAATATGTAATCACTTTTTTCTTTCTAAACAATTAGTAATACTTTATAACGTGGAAAGTTGCATTCCCGTCATACCCAAATCGGAATATGGTGACATTCATGGAATTGAAACAAATGGGAACTGCATCAACATTTATTCTGAAGAAAACTGCGTCGGGCAATTCGTCCGGCTTCAAACTAGTCGCAATTTCAGATATATCGACAACATGGCGGCACATCGTTGGGAGGATAATATTTTGGCACCCATGAAATAAAAGAAACCCAAAAAAGGAAAGCTTAGATGAGGCTAAGAAGTGCGATAAAAAGTATTTAATAAATTTCTTCTCCAGTCAAGGATATAGAATTTTAATATTTCCGGCATCAGCGCTCCACTTCAATTTAAGCTGACTAAATTGCATAAGCAACATGTTTATGTATACATATTACTAAGAGTCGACTCTATTAGGTCAGACCTGTATATTTATCAACTTTCTGTATATTTGCAAGCATTCATAATTTTTTAGATTTGATGCATATTTGTTTGTATATGGTAGTGAAATGGGGCGCTGATGCCGGAAATATTAAAATTCTATATCCTTGACTGGAGAAGAAATTTATTAAATACTTTTTATCGCACTTCTTAGCCTCATCTAAGGTTTCCTTTTTTGGGTTTCTTTTATTTATTAGTTTTTATTTGTATTGAAAAGTAAGGTCAAAGGTCCCATGAACTCCCAAAAATGTCCCAAAAATCCGACTGGGTACATTTCCGAGAACTTTTTCCCAAGCAACGATGAAATTCAGAGACTTCATCGTTCATCGTTTTTCAAGAGACTAGCGTAGCCTAGATACTAAATTTCAAGCAATCGTGTTCTGAATTGAAAAGTTGCTGGGCCGACCTTAGCAACTCACCTTTGGGCGGTGGTGGGAGCGGTCACATTTCACCACCATCAAAACTTTCTCAGTTTTAAACCGATTTGGAAAATTTTAATTTTGTATTTTTATAGACAAAATGTATTAGCTTTTTATCCGTGTACTTTTTTCATACATGCCTTAAATTTTTTCAAATCTCCAAAAAACACACTATTGGTTGGGTTTCTATTGAATATCTCATAAACCGTTGGATGCTTCAGGCGGCCAAATCAGGGCTCTACTCGATGTAGCCATAATTAACTCTGGGCAAAATTTCATTAAAATCGGTTGGAAATCGACGGAGATTTGAAAAAATTAAGCTTTTCAGACCTGTAGTGAATGCTTACTTAGATGATTTTTTTCGATATAGTAACTATGGCTCATCTAAGAAAAATGATGGTTGGTTCAATCGGGCCGTGTTTGGAGAAATGTGACTCTCAAAATTGGGCCGGAATGAGGTGGGATGTTTCAACCAGCGTTACGCTTTATGACGAGGAGGACTATGAAGGTGGGAAGACAATATTATGATGAGGCCAATTTGTGATAATTAATGAATCGAATATTTCAGGAGCCAATTATACATACTCAATTTCTGGGACGAAGTGCATAACAATTCCGAAGGTGACGTGGAAGTCCATCAAAATTTCAGGAACTGCCACAACCACGTGCGTCGTATTACATGATGACGCCACGTGTGGGGGAAACTCGGTCCAATTACGGCCGGGATATCCACATCTGTACGACTTATGGCTATGGGGCTTTCGTCACGACCAAAATCTTGCTGTTTACGCCAGATCGGCTTCACTTTGCGGAAATAGTTGCCCGGAAGTCATAGATAACTTCTCAGCAGTCTCGGAGTCGGCAATTGTATTAATTTTATTGGCAATCTTATTCGCCTTGGTTGTTGTTTGGTTTGGTGAGGTTTATTTTTTCCAGTGGTACCGAGACGCACATTATCCGTCCCACCAAGAACGTCACGTGGTTAAGTTGATCATTTTGGATTCTTTATAGTGACTTACTGCATCTATTCTAACCTGTCAATACCTGAGAATAAATATTGGCCAAAATTAGTATACAGGGGGAGCTCGCCCCCGCTGGATACGAATTTGACCTTGAATAACCCCGGAACGGTTTGTCGTAGCGGGTCAAAATTTTACACAGACGAGCATGTTATCCTCAGATAGTTGTGTGCAAAAATTCAACTCTCTACTTTCAAAAAAGCCTCCTCCACAGCCCCCAGAAGTTTAGACAGTCATTTCAACTTTTTCCAACAAAAATCTCACCCGTGTTTGCAAAAAAATTTATTTAAATTTTCTGTTGAGGAATGAGAGTGAGTTTTGGGTGACATTTGATCAAAAACTATTTTCTCTACAAGTTACTAGTTGGGTTCGAAGAGCTTAGTACACGACAAATGCCGAAAAAAATTCGAGCAATTTGGTGCTTTTCAGTGAGGAGAACTTTTTTAAACAGTTTCTGGTTGTTGGTGCAATGTCGGGTCGTAGTGTCCTCCCACTTATAAAAGTCCCCCGAAAAGTGAAGGAACCTGCAAAGTATTATGTGGACCGTGTATTGAAACCATTTTAAGTACAAAATTTTCCAAAATTTTGCGGCAAAAAAATAAAGGTGATTTTTCATGATCACGCAACGTCTTCCCAGACGGCAAAGTTCACCCAAGATAATGCAAAGGACCTTGACGCTAGATTGGGGATAAAAATCATTTCGAATAGTGAAATACCTGTACAATCCGCCGATGTGAGTCAAATAGAGTTATTTGGGTTCGGATACTTGAAAATAACATTTTTCTGCGGAGATCAAATTTTTTAGACCGAGTTTGAAAAGAATAAAAATGCGTGTTTAAAGTTCTGGGGGCTGTGGGGAAGGCATTTTTGTAAGTAGAGAGTTGGATTTTTGCACACAACTATATGAGGATGATTTGCTCCTCTGTTCAAAATTTTGACCCGCTGCGACAAACCGTTCTGGGGTTATTCAAGGTCAAATTCGTATCCAGCGAAACGAGCTTCCCATCTGTAATTTATCAGGCTAGTTGCTTGTGTACCTACTTATCCTTGTACATGCATACATTGCACTCACAGATCTGTGTCAATGCAGGTATAACTTTTTCTGTTTCAATTACCAATAAAGTAAAGTGAAGTTTAAAATGTATGCCAAAGAGTTAAAAATAATATGTAGCAGTTTTGCTTATCACCATCGAAATTTATCAAATTTTGGATCCGTATTTTGAGGAATTTGAGTGCATGCATACATATGTACATATTCGCCCTATGATCGTTATAAAGATATACATAAATGTATGCCCGACTAAACGCTTCTCGTGACATGCCAAACCGATCCCATAAAAATTGCAGGCTTAATGTTATACATTAAACTTTGCTATTATTACATTATTATTACATTCCCAACCCAGTCTTTTGCTATGACTCCACATGCAATCTGCATCATGCAAATTTTGACGTGTGTCATTTTTATGAACACAGGCTGGAAATTTACAGCTCCAGTCGTGGCAAACCGGTTCCACTACTTCACTCGACACCCATGTGCTCCTCAACAAAGTTCAAAGCAGCTCGAGCAAAAAGCATGCTTGGAAGTAGGGGTGAGCCGGGCCTGCCTTTTTGTACACCCTACCCGGCCCAAATCAATCCGACTTTCCCGGTCAAGATATGCAATTGATTTATGATTTAGACCTTTACGAATGCGTTAATAGTTATCAGTTTACAAAACTGTTTTATAGACTATGGCGTAAATATGTGGTAACTCAATTAACGGATAAAAACCCAATCTATAAATTTTTGAGTAACTTTTTAAACCCATTTCGGCTGGAACCGGACAGTGTCGGCCTGGTTACTCCTCCCGCTGAACTCTAAGGAGTAGCAAGTCAGAGTCTGGCAACGCCAGATTTCGATGTCCTTTGGATATGTTGTGGGGCTCTATGAGTGTAGAAAAAGTGTAGAAGGATTCTACTCCACGGGGCCATTTGCGACCGTCACACCCATTCAAAGTTGGAAAGACTGTTAAAGAAAGTCATTTTCTGTACGCTTAAACTATAGCCAAAAATCTAGTTTTGGTCCGACTTGGAGGAAATTTATATTCTTGTGATTCCTGCTTCAACATATCCAACAACAAACTCAACCTTTTTGAAATTTCGAATTTTTTCAACACAAAACACACAGAAAATCCTACATTGACCCAACCTATTCACCGGGATTGGGTTGGACCGGATTGAACCACATTTTGGATTGCTATTCACCCCTGCCGTGCAAACTAAATACTCCGATATATTATGTCACATGGTAGGGTAATTACACGACCAACGAGTACCAGTTTTCACAATCCATGAAATTGAGCAATTAAAAGATACGCCTTTATTATATACATTCATATATGTACATACATATGTGCATGTCTACATATGCTTGATTGAGGGTTGGGCCTCTCTAAAACTGTTAATAATCGCATCTTTTTGAGGGTCAGGTCAGTAGTGAAATTTGTATCACGGGAGAAAGATGTTTTTCTATTACGCTCTTGCAATCACTGCTTTACTGATACTTTACTACTTACTGTTAAAAGATGATCGTGACAGCAAGGAACCACCAGGTATGCCATTTTTACTACATTACATTTTATAGTTGGATACATATATATAAATTCACACTCCATGATATCATGGAGTAAAAAATTTTGAACAACAAGTAAATTTCTATTGTATGTATGTATGTATGTATTGAACCGTAGACAGAGTTTCATGATTTTTATGCAGGTCCAAAACCAGTGCCAATTATAGGAAATTTGGTAGATTTGCTTATGGCATCGGGCAACATGACCTTGGCATTGGGAAACTTGGCTGAGAAATATGGAGAAATATATTCCTTAAAGATGGGATCTAAAAAGACAGGTGGGTCTGGATTGCATATAGAAAATAAATACAGGTTGTAAATGTTCCTTATATATAATTTAACTTATAATTTTAATCAAGCATTAATTATGTGCATGCGTACATACATATTACCAAATAAGTATGTTCAAATTATAGACTTAATTCGGAATCTTTTTCAGTCATACTCACTTCAAAGGACGCCATGCAAACCATCCTCTCCAATGAGGCCACGTTTGCTCGAGATTTCACAGGAATGTGGACAGATCGAAGTTTCCATAAGAACTTAGGAATCGCTTTTTCTGAAGGAGAAGTCTGGGAAAAGTTGAGACCTTGGACGTTTAAAATGTTAAAAGATTTCGGTTTTGGCAAATCGTCCGATATGGAACGTTTCATTCAAGTAAGAAAAGGCAACGTATAAAATTTCAGAAATTTCAACGCCAAACTTCCAGGTCGCGTCGCAACGTTTATTCGCCACAATCGACGACAAGATAGGACCCGAAAAGAAGAGCTGTGACATCGATATCGAACTCCTTTACAATCAGCCGATTCTTTCCATCATGTGGCAAATGATAGTTGGAGATCTCTCCCCAGAAGATGAACCATCTCTCAAAATCCTCTCAGAGAAGGGAGATGCTTTCGTTCGAGTCAGCATTTTTGGGGCCGGAATCGTAATTGCTTTTCCATTTTTGAGGTTTGTCTTCCCAAACGCGTTGGGATACAATGTGCAGATGGATTTTTTCCAGGCGTGCAACACCATTGCGCAAGTAAGAACTATAAAACAAATTTTAGAATAATTGGGTCTCTAACGAAAATATCATGTAACCTGATTCGCATATTTTTGGCAAAATCGCGAAGTAGGAGGTTTACGTAACGATGTTGGGTCTTGTTGAATATATAAATATGTATGCATGCCCTGTTAGAAATCTGGTACATATCCATATAGTCGCGCATGTATTGATTTCTCCGTATTAAACTTGCTACCGCTAAGTATTAAAATTATATCGGTCCGTAAAAATCTACTACAGATATGGTAACAGTTCCATGCGTAGTTACCATTATGCGTATTTATTATAACTTATCAATACCTATTTTGTAGAGCTGCATATGAATACGGCTTTTTACTATTTAAATACTCGATTTCTAAGAGTGCGGTAATGTAGAAAATGTGAATTATCCCAACGAGGTGACAAACTATAGTTGATGGTGGACACAGAGTAACTATTTTGATTTGCAGAACTTGTTCAAGGAAATGGAAGAAAAAATGAGGAAATCACCGCTCTCAACGCCGACAAATTTATTGAAAGCTTTCGTCCAAAACTGTACCAAGGATCCTAAAATTTTTAATTGTACTTAACTATACTTGTACTGAAATTATAAATACTTACAAAGTAGCGTTAATTAGTAACAATTAAATAATCTTTGGTTGATTAAGGTGATAATTTCCTGCTCACATTTCAAGACATCCTGCTCACCAGTACCGAAACGTCCAATACGTTTATGGAGATCTTAATTTTGTACCTCATAACATACCCGGATGTACAGGAGAAAGTTTATGCAGAAATCTTAAAAGTTTCACCGGATGAGAGAGACCTTAGTTTTTCTGATAGAAAAAAGTATGTAAAAATGACCTGATTTAAATGGTGATGCACATTTTTAAGTAATTCGATACATTGTCCTCCATATTTAATAGAATGCCGTACACGCAAGCTTTCTTCTTGGAGGCGCATCGAAAAGGACAACCGTTCCAGAACTTGGTTCCTCGTCGAGCCTTGTCGGATATCACGTATAAGGACTACATTATTAAAAAGGTTGGAAAAAAATGTGCAACAAATAAGGGTATATTACTCGCCTCATCGTAAATAGTCGATAAAAAGGACGGGATAATTTATGAGTATTTAGATAGCAATTTAATCGAATACTGTAATAATGGACAACCGCACACTTCATATTTATTGTAGATACATACATTTCTGTACAACTTGCTTTTCCATAATTCGATGGAAAATTTTTGCTAGGTTTCTAAATTTCTGCAGCACTGCATTTGAATAAGTATATACATACGTCGTCATGGCTTCTTGCACAAATCCCTATATTGAAAAAGGTTTCTGCAGAAAACTGGGCCAAAATTTGACAAGCAAGCTGTCCAAAGTTTTACTCGGGATTGTCAGTGATATTTGATGTATGGTTGCTAGGATACCATCATCATGAGCGACACGCGGCTCTACTATGAAAACAAGGAGGACTGGCCTGATCCAGAAGTATTTCGACCGGAACGTTTCCTTGACGAGGCTGGACAGGTGGTCAACGCGGGGAAGATTATTTCCTTCTCATTCGGTGAATTAGAAGTTTTCTTTATTCTGCAATTATCGTAATAATTTATCTAAATACATACATTAATTATTCATTTTTATTAACTCTTTCCTCAGGGAAGAGAAACTGTCCTGGAGAACTCCAAGCAAACATTGTCACATTTTTGGGGATCACTGCACTCTTGCAACGGTACAAGTTGAGCGTCCCGAGGGGTCAGTGCATGCCCAGGTTGGACATGAGGCCGGGATTAACTTCAAAACCGTATCCATTTCAGGCAACGTTTGCTAAGCGACAATGATCGACATATTGAAAAAGACAATTTTTTCGCGATATGCAACCTCTATAAGAACCAGTTTGATAACCCTCAGCAATTGTTCGGCCAACATAGTTAAATATGTATATACAATTTATCGAAATCCAAATCTTCTTCGCTATAATATGTATAACCAATTTTCGCGACCGTTGAAGACGACATACAGATACATATGTACGGTTATTTCCTTTAGTTACACAGGTATTATCAATTATCAACTTGATATTAGTTTATTTGCAAATTTAATTTCTTCTCACTGAATACAAATTTATATGCAAATATGCATACAATCCTGTATGTTTTTGCACGTCTGAAAATATTATACATGTACATGTTTGCATCCTTCATATTGATAATCTCACCCTTTGCCACGATTGCTTACACATCAAGTAAATCAGCTATGCTCTTACCAGGAATGTGTACGATATATGTATCTGAACTTGCAAGCTTATCAATTCCTGTATTCCGAATATGATACTTGTTCAAATCTACTTATCGGCAAATAAATATGTATGTAATTTTGTAGCTGAATGGCTAACTTCTTCATGCATGTGTGTAGTTGTTAAGACATTACCGCATTTCGTATTACTTATTTGATACGTATCTATCATTCAATTATCAATTTCTTTGATACGGATAGGCATATCGATGTTGAGTAAGTTGTGGTTTGTGAAATTGAACATGGTTGGGTTATTATTAGTCAGTTATGTATGTGTACAACCTTCATGCAAAATTGACAACATCTGTGCACAAATCTAGGCAAAATTTGTGTAATGTTGCAAAATATATTTATTCATTCCCTAGTGTCAAACTAAGGATTAGATTTTAAAAACAATTTTCCAAATGTCTAACATTACTATGCAGTTAAAAGTCTTAACAGTAGCAGTGCTCATTATCGGAATTCAATTAAATTTTGGATCCTCAATTGCTCAAAACACTACAATCCTTGTCACAAAGGGCGATATGTCTACTCGTAAGAACAAAACTATAAAAGTTATTTTGATTGAATTATAAATACTAAATACTAAATTACTATACTTATCAAGCCGAGATTTCGTTCCTTTAAAAACCGATTAAATTGCATGAGACATAAATTACGGGCATATAGCGGAATAAATTTATTTATTTAAGACTCTAAATATTTAGGAATCCTTTACAACGTGGATCGTTCCGTTCACGCAATACCTAAATCAAAACCTAACGACATTTATGAAATTCAAACAAATGGGAACTGTATCAATATTTACCCCCAAGAAAACTGCGTTGGACAATTCGTCCGGGTTCAAACTGGGCTGAACTACATATATGTCGGCAATTTAGTGGGAAATCGTTTGGACAAGAACATTGTGGTTGACCATGAAAAAGTGATTGTTGGTTCAATCGGGCCTTGTTTTGAGAAATGTGATCCTCAAAACTTGGTCGGAATGAGGAAGGATCTTTCAACTAGCGTTACGCTTCATGACGAGCTTTACTATCCTGGTGAGAAGAGAATGCGTATCAAGGTAATGCCAATTTGTGACAACAAATTAATCAGACTGCCCTGTGGAATATTTCAGGATCCAATTATACATTCTCAATCTCTGGGATGCAGTGCATCAAAATTCCGTCACTGACACGGTGGTTGAGGTGGACGTCGATCAGAATTTCAGGAACGGCTACAACCACCTGTGTCGAATTGCATGATGACGCCACGTGTGGGGGGAACTCGGTCCAATTACGGCCAGGATATCCATATTTGAAGTGGATATGGTGGTGGGGTTTGTTTCGTGAGGAAAACTCCGCTTTTTTGGTCAGATCAGTGTCACTGTGCGGAAATACTTGCCCAGCAGTCATGGCTAACTTTTTCAAGAACGATAACCACAACGACGCATATTAATGACAAAACAAATTCCTCTCAAGGAGAAGAACAAGCATCACATTCACCGTCGTGGGCCTTCCTTCTAATTGTATTAGCAATCCTGTTCGTCCTGATTGTTGCCGGCTTTGGTGGGGTTTATTTCTTTCAGCCGAAATGCACACCTTACGTCTTGCGAAGAACGTTGCAACGTCATTGAGTAATCGTTGGTTGGCTACGTTGATCATGTTTGGATTATTTATAGCCACTTCTGTGTTTCATCTACGCAAACCTGCCTCCACATGTCCACATATCTTGGCTAAATTTGTATATTTTTTAAAAATAATCTTTGTACAAATTTGCACCTTGTGCATACATATGCACAGCTCTGTTTAATTTAACTACAAAGAAGAGTTTCATCCTTTAATAAATGCTCTGCATGTTATCGCACAAATTTCTAAGAAACATATCCTACATATATTTAGTTTGCTATTGATAATCTCACACTTTGACAAGATTGCTAACACGTTTATCCAGACCCGTGTTATAAGTTAGTACATATGTACTTCAAGCCAAGGCAAAAATTCAACCAACTTAATTCCGACCAAGAAACATGTATGTACGTCGCATTTGAACCATACATGTTCAAAAAATCTTTTTTCGTTCAAAGTTCAATCATCCCGATTCCTGAGTGAAGATTTTAATTCACAATCAGTATTTTCTTTCAAACTCATTTCATTTCACATCATCTGACTTCATTTCATACTTCGCCCCATGTATTAAGCATAGGGTGAAAAATGAAATGAGTGAAAAATCCTATCATTCACAATCCTTCACTTGAAATGACTGAATCTTTCACTCATTTTCATTTAAATCACAAGAAATTCATTTTCATTCGCCATCATTCTCTATCATAACCAGTCACACGAATGAAAGTGAACAAGTATGATTTGAAGTTGAAATTTTGAACTAGCAAAATTATCAATTTCCACAGAATATCGATATAACATTTGTTCAAACCTATCCCCAAATAACTTACTGGGAATTGGTAAAATATTTAGCTTGTCGATAGTTACTTAAGACATTCACGCACTTCGTGTAACGTAATTACGTTACACGTTATTCATGTATATATTAATATATACATGAATATGTATGTATTTCATCACTAAACATAAATGTCTTGCACACTGATATGACCGGCGGTGTTGGTTTAACAAATTTTTGCTTCGATCGTATGCCTAAGGTTAGTCGGAACTCTTGATCCAAGTTAAAAAATCCAGTGTATGGATGTTATGCAGCAATGTAGCTCCACAAACATGTGTGGTTTGGAACCAGTAGCTTTATTTTACAAATGTCTTGAATAGTCATAGTTCAAAATTAATCCGTCCTAATTCTCAAATTACCATGCAAATTTGCTTTACAATTTTACATTGCTAAATTTTAAGATTTTTCATTTTAAATACCATATTTACTGGCGTTGTCCCGCAGCTAATTTCCTAACGTGTTTTGCTGTTCTCCCCCATTTTAAAAATCCTCCCGAATCTAAGCAACGCATATATTAAGAGTTTCAAGACCTAGAGCTTGTAAAGTTTTATTATTTCTCGACTTCCCGAATGATAACTATTGTGATCAACGAGAAGCCCCGCAACAACGCCAAACATAGTTACCGTTTTTCTGCCGCTAAGGGTTAACCCTTAAACATGCTAATAAACTAAACAACGGAAAACGTAATTCATTGGTTGAATTTTCCAACCTCCGAAGTTTGATACTTTCTCGATATGTTTTATTATTTATTACGTTTGGAGACTGAATAAATTATTACTAATCCTTAATCATAAGGGTAAGACGGATAATTTAATTTAAATCTGAAATCCATGCTGTTCCTGGGAAATTTCTAATGCCTCAAAATTTTATCCTGTAAAAAGTATTTATTTCTACTCGTAATCCTAATTCAACAATCCGCAGAAATTAATCCTTAGTCATTAGCAGAAAGGACATTTATCCACCCAACTCTGCCCAAATTTTGCACATGCCCAACCTAATTAGGAAGTAATGACATATTTGTGCTGGATAACGTCATCGTCATCGTGTAGGGTTGCCATCCGATCGGATAGGATAGGATATGATAAAAATAATTTTTATCCGATGGGATAAGTCCACTGTTCGGATAATCCGAGTCGGATAACTTCAGAAATATTATCCTATCCGATATCCGACGGATAGGATAGGATAATCAAATTAATTAGCAAAATAAATTCAAAAATTTCAAATAATGCCAACAATTGTCGGGTATTCAATTTGCATAAGCTCTGTTAAAATTATGTCAAGTGCACTGAGCACAGACTGAACTACTAAGGGAGTTGTAGGAATTAGAAGTGACACATATGTATGTATTTAACAAACGTCTTTCTGTAAGTCTCCACTTTTCTTTATTAGTTTGGATAAGTATGATACGCAGTATGTAATCAGTTCAATTTATCATAATGTCAATATTCAAATTAATTGCTTTAAAGCACCCACGGAACTAGATTGATTCTTTAAGCAACGGGAAAATAACCTTATATATTACCTCAAAGGGAACCGTTTTGTGTTTGCCATGGTAATAATTTTACATCTGCTTACTTTACTAAGATTTGACTGGAATTACTTAAATATATCCATGGATGAAAATGAAATACAATTGGAGATAAAATATTTGATTTACTTTCGCACCTACAACGTGTCCAAATTACACTTAACTCGTCATTTTTGACTTATCCGATATCCGTCGGATATCCGACGGACAACATCGGATAATCCGAGTCGGATAATTTGAAAAAATTATCCTATCCGACGGATATCCGAATCGTATTTTTCCTTATCCTATCCGACATTATCCGATCCTATCCGATCGGATAGGATAATCTCGGATAAAAACGGCAACCCTATCATCGTGGGTCGCTCGGAAAACTTAAAAACCTTTAAATTTGATGTTAGATGAGTACTGTCAACTTTTGCAATAATCGTATAGGTATATTTAATCAATTCTGTGTGACATCTCTTAAATATTATTGTATCAAACACCTCATTTTTGTCTCCATCCAGTTCTAGTAATTCTGATTTTTCAATAAATTTAATAATACTCCCGTCCCACTTCGGTCCCGTGCAGTATATCATGGTGGAACCGCCTAATATTAGCGAGATGATTGTATCAAGCGACACCGGATGTTTAATCCAAATCGCCAAAACTTCATTAAAGGTAAACATGTTCTTTAGCTTACTTTCTGTTCGCAAAATTTCACTATCCGCCAACCTGGCTGCATGGCCATTTATTGACTCCGAATCATTTCTAAACGTAACTGTTACGTTTGTTAAGTTAAGTACATCTAATGGATTTGTTGGAAACGAAGAGGAATATATATGCATCTTTTCCAAGAGCACAACAGATAACTGTTTGAGAGAACCAAACTTTCGAAAGTTTGGATCTTCGCAAACACAATAAATAAGATGCAAATCTAGGAGTTTGTGGAAGCCGGGTAACAAGTTCTCAACGATTACAGGAGATATACATTCTTGTAATACAAGTGCCTTAACCTTACCGTAACGTCTTGCAGAACCATAGAGTTGTCTGGGTATCTGACTATCTTCTAAATTTATGTGCAAAAGACGGCGCTGATCCGACCTTACAAACAAGCTAATTGAGTTACTAATAACTTGCACCTCGTGTAACATCTGAACTACATTTAATACTTCCATCTTAGTTTTATCAGTATAAAAGAAAATAAATGGCTCAAGCCGGCGAAAATTTGTCACAGTTGTAAGTGGATTAAAAATGCAGTGAATTATGTAAGTTGTAAGTCTTGGAAGACAAATTAATTTATTACTCGTCGGTGCGTATATATTTATAACGCTGCTGGAGTTGGATATTTGCATACATAGTAAAAATAAGTATCACTTCCTGGCGGTGCTCTATTTAATAACATATCTTTATGCATTATGATATCTACCAGTTGCGAATTGTTGCAGGAAACTGGAGAGATTATTTTACCAAAATCAACACCTAGTGGTCTCAACGGTTCTCGGTTCTCATCTAACCGAACCGGAACCGATGGCTCGGTTCGGTTCCGGTTTATACGGAGAACCGAACCGAACCGAAACTTTTATTACCGGTTCGGTTCCGGTTCCAAGTCTTTGAGAACCGAACCGAACCGGCCGGTTCGGGTTGAACCGAACTTCATACATAAATACATTAGCGAAGTTAATCATATTTTCGAAAAAGTTTTACGAATTTCCCGAAATACACATAGTTTCCAAAATGAAATTTTGACGTGGCCGCACTGCCAAAGTTCCCAAAATGAAACTTTGACATGGCCACACCCCCAAAGTTCCCGAAATGAAACTTTGACTTGGTCACACCCCCAATGTTTCCAAAACCAAATTTTGACTTGATGACACGCCCAAAGTTCCCAAAATGAAACTTTTATTTGGTCACACCCCCAATGTTTCCAAAACGAAATTTTGACCTGGTTACATCCCCAATGTTTCCAAAACCAAATTTTGACTTGATGACACCTCCAAAGTTTCCAAAATAAAATTTTCACCCCCAAAGTTTCCTAAACGAAATTTTTACCCCCAAAAGTTTCTAAAATGAAATCTTTACTTGGTCACACCCCAAAGTTTCCAAAATGAAATTTTTACTTGGTTACACCCCCAATGTTTCCAAAATGAAATTTTTACTTGGTCACACCCCAAATGTTTCCAAAATGAAATTTTTACTTGGTCACACCCCAAATGTTTCCAAAATGAAATTTTGACTTGGTTACACCCCCAATGTTTCCAAAATGAAATTTTTACTTGGTCACACCCCCAATGTTTCCAAAATGAAATTTTGACTTGGTTGCACCCCAAACTTGGAATTGTTTTCTAACTTCAATAATATATACATAAGTGGTTTTGCTGTTGACATGTATTAGAATTTGCTTGTTTAAATACAGATAAGTTATTGGCTTATATGTGAAATTTCATCAGAAACACGTCAATTAGCATTGTTTGTTGTTTATTGCATATTAATAACACTACCGGTTTGACCCGAACCGCCGGTTCGGTCACGGTTTGGTCCGGTTCCGGTTCGGTTCCAACTAAAAAAAGTTCGGTTCTGTTTCGGTTCTTCAATTCTGGTTCTCGGTTCTAAACCGGTTCTTCCAAGAACCGAACCGAACCGCACCGTTGAGACCACTATCAACACCATGCAATTCTTACCCCCGCGACTCTACCAGATTATTAGTTTAATTGAGATTACAAAATTTCACCTTCAATTTGTGCAATCTAGTCGTGACAACACGACAGCATTAATAGGATTTAAACTGGATAGGTTTATGTATGTACATGCACTGCATTACACACAAGTTGTCAGCAGAGTTTATTGCAAAAAATCCAATTTTCATCATTTATTCCTTCAGTAAATTT